CGTGCGCCTGCCTTCCCTCCCTCCACCCGCCGCGCGCTGGAAACCGGGAACAGGAATTGCACTCTAAACAGGGTCCCTGGGGTGGGTCAGGGGTCCCCCTAGACCGGTCCGGCCTCAGTGGACAGACAGCCCAGCTCATCTCATAGGGTGGACCAAGGGGCCGGCTGGGCGGCTTCCCGCAGGGAGGGTGCCCGAGGGGCCGTGACCGGGCCAGAGGCTTGGGGCGCGCTCCTCAGACGCCTCGAGCGCCCGTCTGGCCGCTGGGGTCGCGCACTGTGACCAGGGGAAGCGCCAGGGAGCCTCGGAGGCCGGAGGTCGGGAGGTCGGGCCCTGAGGCTGAGACGCTGCGGAGCCGTGGCCGCGCTGAGGATGCGCCAAGGGGCACCACCTCTGCGACGACAGCACTGCCTCGCGCTGCAACAGCGCTTTGTACTTTTTTAAAACGTGTTTTCTATCCGTTATCTCTTTTCACCCTTGGCCTATCCCTCCGTGGTAGGTGGGGCAGGGTTTGCCTGGCTCGGTAAGTGAGGACGGGAGGTGTATGTAGGTCACATGGTTTAGCCCAAACCACAGAAGAGCGCGGCGGAGCTGGGACCAGGGCCCTTGCCCCCCGGCGCAGTGTCCCCCACCACACACGCTGCCTACCTCCGATGTCTGAGACAGACCTCTCCGGCCTGGCCTCTCCTGGTCTCTCTCCTCTCCCTTTCCCCTGACCCACCAAAAATAATCAGAAGCCACCCGGGGCAGCTCGTGGGGTTCCTGGGAATGGGAGCAAGTTGGCTACAGAAAGCCCCCAGGTTGTGCCCCCCGAGAGGCTCTTCCTATGTGGGCACTTTTGGGCCCAGGTCCCTTAGCCTGTCCCTCCCACCTCCAGTCCCTCAATCTGGTGCAGCACATCTTGTCACTGCATGGCAGTGACCCGGCCCTCCAGAGGCAGCTGGTGCCCCGGGTCAGAGCTCACCCCGATCTATTCCAGTTTCCCCAGGAAAGGGGGTGAGAGCAAGGCTCTCGCTGCAGGGGCCACCATCCAGGAATTGAGTCTCTTCCCAGGAGGGCCAGGCGCGTGGGTGCTAGAGGCCGAGAGCCTCGGTCTCTCTCCTGCCCTGAGCCTCCCAACTGGTGCTATCTGTTAACTGACCATGATAATGGACATGGACACAGACCTCCTCTGCTCCAGACCCCGCAGGCGCCTCGGGAGGCGCCCAAAGGACTCCCTTGTGTTGGTGCAATGCTCCATGGTCCTGAGGGGCCACCGTCTCCATTTCTGCGTCTTGCATGGCCAGGCACTGGGGTGGGGTGGCAGGCCCCAAGACCCTTGTTTGTGTCGAGAATGACTTTTCCTGCTCCGCCCATCCACCCCACTCCTCTCCCAGCTGGGAGCACAGTGGGCAGCCAGCAACCGGCACCGCATCTGTGAGCGCTCTGCTTCCTCCCTCATCTGCGCCGCTTGGCTTTCCCCAGACCCCTTTTTGCCATGCAAAGGGAATTCTTGAAATTAAATAAAAGGTGTCCAGATTGCAGACTGCGTGTTCACAAGGCCCAGGGTTCTGCAGCGTGGCTTCGTACAGGAAAGCAACATGGGACTGGAATCCAACCAACTGGGATTTTCCCCTTCATTCTTTTTGAAGGAGGCAGATCTTAAGGAAATGAGTTGAGAAATTAAACAGACGTGCTCGCTGGAGTTTTATTAGAGCAGAAGGGACCCTCTAATCCAGTGTTTTGTGGGGAGGGGGCAGTGTTCTGCTTTTCAAAGGCATATGCAGAAGATCAAACTTTTCATAATCTAAATCATTGAAAATAAGACGAACAGATTTTTTTTTTTTTTTTTTTTTTTTTTT